CTCAAAGAGAAGTGCGCGCTTTCCTGGAATTTAGAGAAAGGGGGAGCACAGAGAAAACCCTGAGGTCAAGAAATGTTTGTTTTGATGTCAAATAAGTCTTTGCTTTTTTGTTAAAGCAGTGATGCTGTTGTAAAGTTATACATCCACAGTTGTGTTGCTGGGTTTTAAAGCAGGTTCGATTTTTTTTCTTCCTTGTCACTCTGTATTTACAGGATTTCACTGTCCACTCTGTTCAAATGTGGATGAATGGCTACACATAGACGTGTCCAGAGCTGTGTGAGATCACTACCATCCTGCTTTTGTGGGGGTGGGAAGGGGTGTTAAATAATTCTTTTTGTTTTGTTGTTTTCCCCATAGGTTTTTAACATTGTAAAAGCTCTTTATTCCAAATATACTACAAGCTAGTCAGTGTATTCAGCAGGTGTAATGTATTCTAAGTTGCTTCAGAAGTATTGTAAGTACTACTACGTACAACAATAAAACAGTGCATTGACATAAAAAAGGAAATTTACTTTTGGTACTTAAGTACTTTTAAAAGCAAGTACTTCTGTACTTTTACTTAAGTAAAAATCTGTCTTTACAACTTTTACTTGTAATGGAGTAATGTTTGACCAGCAGTATCTGTACTTTCACTCAAGTAATGGAGTTGAGTACTTTGTCCGCCTCTACATCTGGCTGGCGATAGATAAACATTCTCACAGACCCCTAAAGGGGGATACACACCCTCCTCAGCAGAACACAATTCTACAAAAAGTTTTCAATCTTTCTCATAATATAAATGACTACTGTGAAATTGAGACCATTTTACCAAATGATACCAAACATGAAGGGGAAAAACAACAGGTTCACAAGATGATATGTGGGATAAACATATTCTTAATGAACTTTGAGAGAAACCTTTTGGAGGAAAAGCGGGAGAGGCAGAGAGGGCAGGGGGAGAAAGGGGTCGTAAATGAGCGAGGAAAGAGGTGTTGTTTTTTCTGTTTGGAGATTTCTTCTCCAGATAAGTTTTATTGTTTTATTGAACGGCATCTGTTCTGTGTGAGTTCCTGAGTTTTGGCTTCATGAGGAGTTAATTTCATAAGCAAATAATTTCACTCCTTGCAAAAGTTTTCACAAATCATAATAGTGATGTTACTGACTCAGGGAAGGGTCAGCTGATCAAAACTGAACTGTGAAAGCTTTCACAGATCAGAATAGTGATGTTAGTGACCCAGGGAAGGGTCAGTTGACCCAAACTGAACTGTGAAAGTTTTCACAGATCAGAATAGTGATGTTAGTGACCCAGGGAAGGGTCAGTTGACCCAAACTGAACTGTGAAAGTTTTCACAAATCAGAATAGTGATGTGCATGACTCAGGGAAGGGTCAGTTGACCCAAACTGAACGGTGAAAGTTTTCACAAATCAGAATAGTGATGTATATGACTCAGGAAAGGGTCAGCTGACCCGTAGTGAACTGTGAAAGTTTTCACAAATCAGAATAGTGATGTGCATGACTCGGGGAAGGGTCAGTTGACCCAAACTGAACAGTGAAAGTTTTCACAGATCAGAATAGTGATGTTACTGACTCAGGGAACCATTATCTGACCATAACTGCACTGTGAAAGTTTTCACAAATCAAAAAAGTGATGTAAAAGAATCAGGGAAGGGTTACAACACCGCACTGGGAAATTTTTCTGATCAGAATAGTTAAGGAATCAAGAAAGGGTTAACTGACAAAAGCTATACTGTGAAACTTTCGCAAATCAGAATATTGAAGCCAAGTACTCAAGGAAAGGTACAACCAAAACTTTATTTTCAAACAAAGTGTACAAGTGTATACACTCATTTACCTAATGAATTGGAAACTGTTATTCATTGGAACAGCACCGTATGACAATATTATACAAAAAACGGGAGGCAGAGCAAAGAGAAACACAGCCACGCGATAAAATGCGATTGTGAAAGTTTTCACAAATCGAGTTCAACCTAAAACAATGTTTTTGTATTCCAGCAGTCTGCGTGTTTTTTGGTAATAGACGTTAAACATGAAGAACGCCTTTCTTTCACATTCCTTAGCGGACTCACCAAGGGGTTTACGGACAAGAGCTTTGCTGTGAAAAAAATCACAGATCAAGATGATGAATATGACACCAGTTTCATTCCTCTAAGTGTTCAACTTTTGGAGCTATAGGCATTATAATAGACGTTAAACATGAACGCCTTTCTTTCACATTATTCCTTAGCGGACTCACCAAGGGGTTTACGGACAAGAGCTTTGCTGTGAAAAAAATCACAGATCAAGATGATGAATATGACACCAGTTTCATTCCTCTAAGTGTTCAACTTTTGGAGCTATAGGCATTATAAAATTAAGAGTCGCTACGAAAAAAAAAACCCTGATTTCGGCCCGAAGGACAGTGTCACCTGAATTCACAAATCATGGAGAATGATATCCAGTATTATTTGCATGTCTATGACAGCGCACTGGGTATTTATAGCCAAAAGAAATCTGAATATCAAACCGCAAACTATCTTTACTGCGGTGAGCTTTGCTGTCTTCTCCTCCTGTTCTTTTCTCTCCTGTCTCTTCTTACAACCACTTTTATGTTTGAATGGCATCGCTTAAGTCTGCTCAGCTAATCTGTTTATCAGATGTTGCATTTAACCTAGCTGCCGGAGTATTGTCGTCTTGTCACATGATCAAATAGAGACTTAAGATTGGACTGTCATGACCCATTTCTGCAGATCTAGTAATTTTTTAATATCTTCATTTAAAAAATGAATAAATAAATAAATAAAACACATTTGTAATGCTGTACTTTGTGTTACATTACCTTGACAGGGAATGACAAAAAAAAAATTGCACTGCTGCGAGGGTGTTTCTAAACAACGGCTGAGGGAGTGACGGCAAATCTGACATAAACCAATCTCTCAAATTTTTTCTTATAGTAATATGTTTTGCTACTGAAAAGTGATGTCAAATTTACCATATCTCTCTTTGTCTATTCCTGATTTCCTTTTTTTGTTCAACTAGGATGTTTCCCTAAGTGTCCTTCAGATAAGCCATATCTGAATGAGGCAACAATGAAGTGTGTTGCATCTTGTACATAGTATACAACCACATCAACAACAACAGCATCAATATCAACGGAGACACCTACAACCACTTCCATTACTACAACAGCTACTGTAACAACAACATCTACTGAGACAGGAACAACACCACCTACAACTCCTACAACACCAACATCAAGAGAGACACCTACAACCACTTCCATTACTACAACAGCTGCTGTAACAACAACATCTACAAAGACAGAAACAACCCCTTCTGCAACTCCTACAACACCAACATCAACAGAGACACCTGCAAGCACTTCCACTACTACAACAACTACTACAACAAACACATCTACAGAGACAGGAACAACACAATCTACAACACCAACTTCAACGGAGACACCTACAACAACTACTACTACAACAACAACATCTACAGAGACAGGAACAACACCTTCTGCAACTCCTACAACACCAACATCAACAGAGCCGCCTACAACCACTTCCACCACTACAACAACTACTGTAAAAACAACATCTACAGAGACAGAAACAACACCTCCTACAACTCCTACAACACCAACATCAACAGAGACACCTACAGCCACTTCCACCACTATAACAACTACTGTAACTACTGTAACACCTACAATATCGTGTAACCCCACCTATGGTTGTAAGTGGTCGAACTGGTTGGACAACAGCCGACCCAGTGAAGAACCCAAAGGACTGGAAACCGAATCCATTGATGCTCTGTTGGCTTCACAAAGCATGAGCTGTCAGAAAGTAGAAGAAATTGAATGCAGAGCGGTGGATTATCCAAATACGTCCTTGAGCGAGTTGCAGCAAACTGTGCATTGCAATACATCTTATGGCCTGTTATGTTCAAATAAAGAAAATGTAGACCGCATGATACCAGTTTGTTTCAACTCTGAAATACGTGTATGTTGCTGTCCTCCACCCTCTATTTCGACTACAACAGCTACTGTAACAACATCTACAGAGACAGAAGCAACACCTTCTACAACAACAACATCAACAACGGAAACACCTACAACCACTTCCACTACTACAACAACATCTACTGACACAGGAACAACACCACCTACAACTCCTACAACACCAACATCAACAGAGACACCTACAACCACTTCCACTACTACAACAACTACGACTACAACAACAACATCTACAGAGACAGGAACAACACCTTCTGCAACTCCTACAAGACCAACATCAACAGAGACACCTACAACCACTTCCACCACTACAACAACTACTGTAAAAACAACATCTACAGAGACAAAAACAACACCTCCTACAACTCCTACAACACCAAAATCAACAGAGACACCTACAGCCACTTCCACCACTATAACAACTACTGTAACAACAACAACACCTACAATATCTTGTAACCCCACCTATAGTTGTAAGTGGTCGAACTGGTTGGACAAAAGCCGACCCAGTGAAGAACCCAAAGGACTGGAAACCGAATCCATTGATGCTTTGTTGGCTTCACAAAGCATGAGCTGTCAGAAAGTAGAAGAAATTGAATGCAGAGCGGTGGATTATCCAAATACGTCCTTGAGCGAGTTGCAGCAAACTGTGCATTGCAATACATCTTATGGCCTGTTATGTTCAAATAAAGAAAATGTAGACCGCATGATACCAGTTTGTTTCAACTCTGAAATACGTGTATGTTGCTGTCCTCCACCCTCTATTTCGACTACAACATCTACAGAGACAGAAACAACACCTTCTACAACAACAAGATCAACAACGCAAACACCTACAACCACTTCCACTACTACAACAACTACTACAACAACAACATTTACTGACACAGGAACAACACCACCTACAACTCCTACAACACCAACATCAACAGAGACACCTGCAACCACTTCCACCACTACAACAACTACTGTATCAACAACATATACAGAGACAAAAACAACACCTTCTACAACTCCTACAACACCAACATCAACAGAGACACCTACAGCCACTTCCAATACTACAACAACTACTACAACATCAACATCTACTGAGACAGGAACAACACCACCTACAATTCCTACAACATCAACAGAGACACCTACAACCACTTCCATTACTACAACAGCTACTGTTACAACAACATCTACAGAGACAGAAACAACACCTTCTGCAACTCCTACAACACCAACATCAACAGAGACACCTACAACCACTTCCATTACTACAACAGCTACTGTTACAACATCTACAGAGACAGAAACAACACCTTCTGCAACTCCTACAACACCAACATCAACATAGACACCTACAACCACTTCCACCACTACAACAACTACTGTAACAACACCATCTACAGAGACAAACAACACCTTCTGCAACTCCTACAATATCAACAGAGACACCTGCAACCACTTCCACTACTACAACAACTACTACAACAACAACATCTACTGAGACAGGAACAACACCACCTAAAATTCCTACAACACCAACATCAACAGAGACACCTACAACCACTTCCACTACTACAACAACTACTACTACAACAACAACATCTACTGACACAGGAACAACACCACCTACAACTCCTACAACACCAACATCAACAGAGACACCTACAACCACTTCCACCACTACAACAACTACTGTAAAAACAGCATCTACAGACACAGAAACAACACCTCCTACAACTCCTACAACACCAACATCAACAGAGACACCTACAACCACTACAACAACTACTAGAACAACAACATCTACTGACACAGGAACAACACCACCTACAACTCCTACAACACCAACACCAACAGAGACACCTACAACCACTTCCATTACTACAACAACTACTGTAACAACACCATCTACAGAGACAGAAACAACACCTTCTGCAACTCCTACAATATCAACATTAACAGAGACACCTGCAACCACTTCCACCACTACAACAACTACTGTATCAACAACATATACAGAGACAGAAACAACACCTTCTACAACTCCTACAACACCAACATCAACAGAGACACCTACAACCACTTCCATTACTACAACAGCTACTGTCACAACAACATCTACAGAGACAGAAACAACACCTTCTACAACTCCTACAACACCAACATCAACAGAGACACCTACAACCACTTCCACTACTACAACAACTACTTTAATAACTACATCTACACAAATAACAGATTCTGTAACTGTTTTAACAAAACCTACGGTGTCAGAGTCATCAACCACAATCTCCACTGCATGGACTACAGTACCATCAACATCATCTACTATTATTTCTTCAACCAAGTTCACTGTGCACACAGAGCCACCACCCAACTCCACATCACCTGGACCTCAGATAGTAAACAGAACATCTACAACTACAACCAGCAGTAATCCTGCCCCATGTTCCCAAAAGGTAACCAAATCAGAAAAGAAATGCACAACATGTACTATTGGGCTAAGTATTGGCCTAACATTTATTAGTTTTAAAGTATTATGGCTTGTTTCCATCAAGCGGTACGGGCCAGTACAGTACAGTACAGTATGATTCGGGACCGAACACCCTGATCCAGCTTGCGTTTCCACCGCCATCAGTACCCTTACTTGATAGGCGTGGTGTATGCTGGAAAGTAGCGATCGACGATAAAGCGTGACAATAAGCACAACTCTGTCTCTTTTTTGTCAGTTTTATTGAAGAATAATATATAAAAGTATAAATACAAAGTATAAGAGGCTTTTATAAAAGGAAATAAATACAAAAGCAAACAATTCAGTCAAACATATGCTACAAAGTCAGCGCTGTACTATGGCAAAGTTCAAAATAAATATATAAAGTTAAATATATAAAGCCAAAACTATATGACCAGGAACAAATAATAGATTCATGAGACCACAAATGCCTGTTAAATATACCCAAAACGAATTGTATCTCATGTTTAATCACTACAGAGACATCAGAGCCAGCGGCAAATGTCAGAAGGACTAGCCGAGCTAAGGCTGCTCTATGCGGATACATAAGCACTGTGTGTCCAGTGATCGCCTGGAGCTCCGAAATCGGCATAGCAAATTTTCAAATAGGCGCTATCTTTATAAATAAACCACAGATTTGAGTTTTAAACAACTACATTCTCGCCTGAAAAACTCTTTAAACTACATTTCATGACACAATAACAGTAATATTTTGAGGGTTTTTGAGGGTTTTTGGGCAATGACGTTTCACAAGTCAACAAGAACAGACCAGAACGCATATTGAGAAACAGCTATTGTCTGTGTGAAAATATAAAATTATAAAATACACTGTTATATTTTTTTTTTGTGTTTGTGCACCCTGATGTAAATAAGCCCAACACTCATGGACAGCAGAGAGGAATGAGTGAAGGAGAAGCTTTATTCCCTTGTATCACACAAAAGTAACAATTCTAGTCAACCAATCAACGTTCTGCGGTGAGTTTAGCTCCACACTTTTGGTACCCTTTGCTGTGCTAGGTACCCCAACAGAAGGGTAACAAAAAAGTGGTACTGTACGGTTTTGGTATTTTGGTACCATTCACAACTTCTGACAATGGAAACGGACATAATTGTGTACCGTTCCATACTGTACTGAACTGTACCGCTCGGTGGAAACGAGCCATTAGTGGTGCTTTCTACTGCCAGTATTTAGAACACATCCCTAACCCTGTTTCCAGTGTGTAGCTCGTTCTACACCCTTTTGGGCTTTAGACATGAATGAGAGCTGAAATCATGCCCTTTCTCAGCACCGTTTAGTCAACTTTTAAAAAAAAGTTTTATTAAGTTTATTTAAAAAAATAAAAAGAAGATTTAAGCTTATTAAGTTTTTGTTGTTGTTGTTTTAGTACACTTTTAATTAAGCATCTCAATCCCTATACAGTGTAAGCCAACAGATGCAATCATACCTGACTGTGTCAATGGACATTCACCTGAGAAAGTCTATTATAACAATGGGTGCTGTTCCAAGTATGAGTGTCCTTGTGAGTTTAAACCATGAAATTGGTATATTATTAATATTATTCCTAATGGTAATTTAAATGAAATAAATTAAATACCTATATGCACTGGAAATGCATTGTATTTAACTTTGTTTTAAATCTTTTTCTAATACAAAAGGTAGATGCACCAGCTGGGGGGACCCTCATTACCAAACCTTTGATGGAAAATATTACACTTTCCATGGAAACTGCACTTATGTTTTGTTCCAAGAAATAATTCCAAGATACAATATAAGTGTCCATGCTAAAAACTATTATTGTGATGGAAAAAAAAAATCTAGCCTGCCCTGAGTATGTGATTGTGAACTACAAATCTTATAAAATCAAGCTAACAAGCAACACTAAAGAGGTCCAGGTGAGTGTCACGACTTTCACACAAATCTATTCACAAACAAAATGTAAAACATATCTTGCTCTAGATCAGTGATTCTTTTTTTTTTATATCCAGATTTTCCATCAAGTGGCGACAAAACACTGTACCAAAATTGTGTACCATTGTCAAAACTGTAACAGGGAGACATAGTCATCATCCCTAAATATCTCTTGAGATTAGTTGGTTTTGTACACTTAGCAGCCAGTTGTTCACTGCATAAAATGCAATGGAACACACAAGCCATGTGTATTCTCATTTAATTTGAACCATATTTAATGTAATGATGTAATGGGTAGTATTTTCTTTTACCTTGCAAAATTTTTCTCATGAATGACCAACCTTCATCAACAATGAAGGTAGGTCACATAACATCCATGTTAGCATCAGCCTTATTTGGAAAAGCATTTCTCCTGCCTTTTAAATGTGGTAAAGTTGCTTAGTTTGCTTTCCTAATTATGCATAATATGGATAGTTGCATTTCATTATCATTTGCTTTTAGCACATCATTTAGCATCGTTATTCTCTGCTGTCCACAACTGTCAAAATAGACTTTAGATCAATTTAATGGACTGCTACCCACCAGTTGAGAACCAGTGCCCTCATGTTGTTCATGGCACATTGCAAAATAACATAGTATTCTAGAGCATGATTTTCATCATGACTCCAAAATGCCTTGTTTCCCACAGGTTTATGTTAACAATGTTGTGATGAAGCCAACAATCCAACTGGGAGATATAATCATCACCACTACTGCCATTACAGTGCTTGTGAATGTATCTGATATTAAAGCTGAGATTTTAGTCAGTAATCAAGGTGTTTCTGTCAAACTCCCATTCTCTTACTTCCATGGCAATACTGAGGGACAATGTGGTGAGTACAGATCTGATATCTCTTGGCATAAAATGATAATGATAAATAAATTTGTTTTTATCTGTCTGTTGGACCTTTACTAAAAGATCAGTATATCAAAACTCTGCCTGAATGTTTATTTGTTTATTCAAATTATCTGGTGACTTGGTGTCTGCAACCTGATCTAGTATAATTGAAGTTTTTTTTTTAATTAAATAGCTAGTTTAACTTTTTCAGCTGCATATCTAATGTTTCTCCATTTTGTTTTTTTTGTTTGTTTTTTTATTCGGTTGACATTTTTAAGGGTATTGTGACAATAGCACAGCAAATGACTGCAGACTCCCTAACGGAACAATTGACAAATCTTGTGAGCACATGGCACAGTTTTGGATGGTACCTCCAGGATGCAATCCTCCTCCTAATGTACCTCCACGTCAGCCAAGTTGTGCACCAGAAATGTACAATGCCTGTGAACTCATCAAGGACAAGTAAGACAAATCCAATGCTTTAACCTTTCAAAACCTAATAATAACAGCAAAATTGTTCTGTTGCATAACTTACTGAAGCAAGTTGTCTATATAGACATCACAGGCAAGCTTCTGACTGTTCCAGAAAGTATATAATCATGCTGCCTCCTAAGATACATTCTTTTAGCCACATTTAGCAGTTTATCAAGACATTTTGCTAGTGGGGACCCCTGACTGTTCCCACACTTACCAAAAAGTAGTATACTTCAAGTTTATTTTATTAAGTATACTTAAGTAAAGTTCAAGTATATTTTTAAGTATACTTTATGTAGTAAGTATACAAAAGTGGTCTTCTATGTATTTTGTTACATGAATATCTGAACATACAAAACATCAAAAGAACAGGGTATCTGCTTGTAAACAAAAACATTTTATTCTAGCTTCATGCATTCTTTTTTAAACACTTGAATGTGGTAAGTTTCATAAAAAATAAAGAAATAAACAACATTTTGAACAAAAAGCTGAAAAAAAAAGACTATGAATTGGATTCAGAACGATAATCAAAACGTAGATAGAGTCGATCAACACCCCAAAGCTTGACAGTCATTAGTACCTCTTCATTGGTCGATATTTTATTCCATTACGTTACACAGTTTTAATGCTGTTTTATGTCTGATGATTGTGTTAGATTACATGTGGAAGCATCTGTTGTTTCGGTTTCTTCTTCACTTGTGTTTTTTGGAAATTCTGTACAGAAGATGTGTACTAGCGCCCCC